TCGATATGCGCGCGTATTCCGACGTACAGCGTCCACGACCAAAGCAACAATAGGATGATACAGGTCATAATGGAGAATCCTGCTACAGCTTGCACTTGTCCGCAGATGGGTTTGGGCGGGCCAGCTAAAACGACGCGACAATGAGACCTCAATGACTCGTGTCATGGAAAAGGACGTACAGCACTCGTACACGTACGCCATCCCGGGCTCCGGGACGCAAATGGCATACTTGCAGACCTGCCAGTCATTGATAGCCATGGCGCCTGTAGCTGTATCGGAAAATGCGGGTGAGCGACTGAATTGCATACAGATTCACGCAACGCACATAGTGACAGCACCCAGAGCACGCCCATCCATGCCAATTCTACGCTGGTCCACGACGTGAAGACGCTCCTCCGCCACCAGTCGATCGCCAATCTGTGACACCACTTCAGCTCTTTAACATCTACAGCGAGTCGCATCCAGAGCGCACACAGTTGGGCAGGCAATCACCAGCAAAACACCAGTCGCAATGCCAATGCTGAAATCAGGGTAGGAGTACCATGTGATGTAGGTGCTGATGCCGAAGACAATTGTACCGAACACGGTGCATATTACTGCAGACGACAGGGTCAGCAGGGTGCAGCTTGACTTGAACGCGCAGCCAGCGCACCAAGGGCGAATATCCGAAATCTTCGCAGCATGGGGAGGGCAGAGAAGATGGCGGCAAGGCGGCAGGGAGGAAAGGTAAGGTGCGCTGCGCAGGAAGCACGGATCAGTCAGATTGGTGTATGAAGGGGTCCGGTCTCCGCAGTCGCTCTTCGCTTGGCGGCCGAGACCATTCAATTCGCCTCGTCCCCGTCTTCTCACACGCTAGCGGTAAACAGTTTGTACATGCAGTGCTTCCAAATTTCGAAGAGCATATGATATCCGGCCATGGAGAGTTGGATTCGCTAGTCGCCGTGTTTTGTAAGACGCGACGCGACTCGGACGCTACGTCAGCCAATCAGGTCGACACCCCCCTCTCTCATCTCCCGGACTTATGATCCCCGGACCCCAATTATCCTGCAGGACGGCACTCGACACCGTCCGGTCTTCGAGGAAGTTCGTTGCACGATCTGGCACATTGTCATTGAGGCCGTCCACTTAATAGGCAAGATCATCATCGGCACCGGGTGGGCGGCCTCGGCTCCGAGTCCGGAGGCGCACGAGCCGGAGGAGGGTGCACGCGGTGGAAAGAGGGCATAAGGGGCGGACGTGCTGCAACGTCGAATCGACTGCGGACTATATGTGGAATGATGTGGTAAGGATGTTTGGAGGGTCGCGCTGGCTCGGCCTCCTTGGCTAATCGTTACGGTGTTGCGAACACTCCGAGTAGACGTTATTTCATTGTCCTTGCGGGCCGAAAGATGAAGTAGAGTGTACATTGTAGGTCAACAAACAGCGCGCCCTGTATGGTATCCGCGCGTCACCTATTCCCCTTTCTTCAAAAGGGCCTTCAGCTTGTCGTTCTGCGCGTCCAGAATCTCCAGCTTCTTTTCGTTAGTTTCGATCTTCCTCAACAGCCAGCTTGCACGCGCTTCCACTCCGGTCGCGCCAAGAATCCACCCTTTCAGCCCGGTGTCCACACCGATGTTCGTTAGAGTGTTGAGCTCTTGTTCTGCTGACCTGATAGCTGATTCTGCCGCAGCCATCGCCTTCTCATTATACGCGATATCTTGCATCGCGGCGAAAGTCTTGTCTAATTCATGGTTAGAGTACTAGCACACATCCTCATCACTCGGACTTACCACTCGTTAAGCGCTGGAAGACGGAATAGAATACCGGCTTTCCAGCCCGAATGGTATTTGGTCGGCCTATAATGTCATTGAGCACATTATGCCCGGAGAATCCAAGAATGGCCTCACCATTCAGTTGAGTGATGTTGATAAACTCGTCATGTTCAAGTTCGCGCAAAGCCGTCTCATTTCCCTTAAACGGGTAATCGAGTAACACATCGGCGTATGGGATCTCTTCTTCCTCTGCCAAGCGCTTGAAGATGCCCCAGGCCTGTTCCGTTGTCCAAGGCAGATTACTGGCATCTTCCGCATCGTCGCCAAAGGCGTTCTTCCGCACTTCGGCCACGTTACGAGAGATGATGTCTTCGACCGCTTCCGCAATGGTAAGACCATTGCGAACCTTGTAGACAAACTAGAACCGTATCAGTCCAGCATCTTCTGACAATGTATGCACAGTAAATAGCTTACTGATTCCAGATCGGTGAGTCGGCCGCCCAGCCTCCGGACCTCGATACAGTCGTCAGCAGACAAATCATCCTGAACCCCAGCCTCCTTCAGTTTCTCGGTAACAAATCCAAGGGCACTCTCAGCAGTAGCGTCAGTCAAGGTGATGGTGGTTATTGGTTTAGACGGCAGAGCTATAGCAAAGATCAGCGCTGCCCCGACCCGATTACTACCGCACACACCCTTGGCTATATTCTTGGGGGCGCTCGAATTGTCGGAGACGAAGATTACTTGTGCAACCTTGTTCTCCACGAGAGCAGCAGCCCAAGCGGACAAAACATCCCAGAGTTCGTCCTTCTTGGCTCCCTTCAGAGCCCAGTTCTTCATCACGACAACGGGCAAGGCGCCGAGGTCAGCCTTCTCTTCATCGAGTTTCTTCTTTTCTTCTCCTTCAACAGGCTCCGATGCGGCGAAGATCGCTTGACTGCTCGCAGGGGCGGCATCATAGTCCGACTCCCGCAAAAGCTCGTCGCCGAAGCCCAATTCACTCATGATGCCATTGCCGGCGACGCAGTCGATCCGCCCATCGTGCCAGGCACCGAGGCGGATGAGCTCAGACCGAGCTTCTTCCTGCTCCTTCTCGCTCGCTTCGTTCTTTGCGTATTCCTCTCTGCGGGCAACTTGGGCCTTGTGGTGCTTCGAGACGCCTTCCAGGCCCTTACCAACGACTTCCAGGACTTGCTTCATCTGCTGGTCAATGGAGGTGCTGAAGCCAGCTTTCTGGCCAATTAGACCGACACTGGCAAGGTCCAGTAGGTTATTGATGGACGAGAGCATTGAGAAGATGGGCCAGTAACCAGTCTGCTTTGCCAGCTCAGAAATGAGCGCAGCATCAGAGGTCGCTTTGCACAACTCGGCGCAGTCGATAGTCAATGCGTGCCGATTGCCGCTCGACAAGGCATGTGCGACCATCACGCCCTTGCCACTGCCCTCAGGGCCAGTTACCAGAGCAAAGTTCGCTGGAAGAATCATTAGTATTTGCGAGCATATGATACTTGAAGCACCTACAGGGCTGTTCCCCGAGGAACGCCGTGATATCCCTTGCAGCATCCTGCCGCTCTCGCCAGGCGCTGCTGGCACTGGGCGTAGGAGTGACCTTTGTGGTATCGAACGAGAGACGCTCGATCGTATTGCGCTTTAACCATCGTACTACAGAATAATCTGGCGAACAGGGTCAATGAAAACGCTCCATGGGCAGACATAATGCACGCACTGCGATAGTCGAACCAGTCCAGGACCTTGGCTTCAACGAACCACGCGCGTACCGGATCAAAGATCTATGGTTGGTCAGAACGGGTAGACCCAATCGAGAGCTGCTTCGCACCGTGTATGTCAGTGTGGCCAACAAGAATGCAGCCACTGGGAGAACGATACGTGGATGATTGCTTATCCAGTCTCTAAACATGTGGTCTTTGATTGCTTTCTCGTAGATAAGGCGGAGGCGCGTGAGCTTTCCATCCGCTGGTATACCATGAATAGCGCCAAGGTCATGAGCGTGGGGTGCAACAGCGATGCCGTGTAGGCAATTGCGGGCTATTGTCGCGCTTTGAGTCTTTATGAACCTAACGGTGGAGGAGCGGAGCGTTCCAGCTGGAACGGGAACGGGGACCGACATGTCCGCTATGCGGCCATATGGCTGAGTCAGGTCAGCACCAGTTTTGGGCGGCTTGAGGGATACTCACGCGGAGGATGTCGTACAGAGACTCGTGGTCGACGTCGGGGCCGTCAAATTCCACCTTGAGCTGTGGACTTGGAAACCTATACAAGTCCTATAATCATGCTCAGAAGTGTCCTATCTGCTTAACATAAAGGGACGCACCTCTCGCCACGGCTTGCCTCTCACCAACCACACATGTGCCGTCCCATACCGCTTCCAAGTGGGTAGCCCTCCCTTCTTCTCCACCTCTTTCCGTAAACCTACCTCAATCTCTTTTAACCTATCGAAGTCACTGAGGCCTTGTATCGGCGGCGACGGTGGTGAGGTACCCGGCGTTCCAGTGGCTGTTGAGGACGCCGAGGGGGACAGGCTAGAGTCGTACTCGAAGTGGATGAAGACACCTCCATCCTTCTGCGTGCCTTCTACAGCAAGGACCTGGAAGTTGTACTTGTTAAAGTCACCGATAAGACTGTTGATTTGATCGATTATATCTTCCTTCTCGAGGCGAGCGATTATGTATCGGAAACTACAAATGGTCAGTGACGCCCGCATGTACGATGTGTTCACCCACTCCCAGACGCCGAACCGGATGGGGAACACGCCGGACAGGTAGATCCATGCATCTTTCCTCCCAAAGGGCTACATGACGCGTCAAAACAGTGATTGACACCCGCATGGCGCACTCACTTCTTTGGGTGGGTCGTCAGGGAGTCCCTCGTTCCGCACCACATCGGTGGTATCGTTCTCTGCCGAAGTCGCTAGTGTACGTCTTGGGATCAGTCGTCGCGCTAGTAGCACATGTTGTCGAGCAAAAGGTAAACGGCGTATACCGACCAGAGGCCGGAGCATCCTTTCAAGGCTGAATCAGAAGAGAAAGACGTCGACCGGAGAGGAAGAGGGAATCGGAACGCGCACTACTGTACCTCGGCTCGGACGGAAACGGTTGATGCGCGCTTGACGTCACGCTTTCACACGCGAGCGGCAAGGGTCCTGTGAGGGATGGAAGTAAAGTGGAAACAAACGGGAAGCAAGCTGAGAATCACAGACAACTGAAGCTTTCAGACACAAAACATTGCACACATAACCTCCTGCGAGGATCGAACTCGCAATCTTCGCCTGAAGTTCCTAGGAAGGCGACGCCGTAACCATTTGGCCAAGGAGGCGTAGCCTGTGACCTTGCCTCTCCAAAGGGTGTTAGCAGATCAATTGCACACAATAAACGGTCGAGTGGATGCTCCACAATGCCATCCGTATGCGCACCTTCCTCCTCGCGCTCTCTTCAAAGTCGCTCGGACCCTTGTCCACCTTACGCGCGTCCGGAGCCGAGTCTGACCTGGTACCGGTGCGTTTGCACCGGTGGACGGCCTCATGCAAGGATCGAAGGGGAAATCCTCCGATGCCCTGAAAACCGAGTTGTAAGGACTGAAATGCCCTCCGCCCATTAAATGACTGGGAACACCTTTAGAGGCCGCGGGGTTTTCCACTGCCTTTCATGCACGAGGCATGAGAAGGAGTATCGAGAGTCCGTTTCTCTCCGACGGTCGGTCGACTGGTGCAGCCGCGTATAGGCAATGTTGACAGTTCGAAGACCGTAGATTCTCTTTTGGGCCAGCGAATAACGATTGGCATGCTCCGGCATTCAACAGCAGATGCGTCGGCAAGGTATCGTTCGACCATTGTTCGCGTGTGACGCGTTTTCGAAAAGAACATCTGAACGAGGCAGACAGAGAGTCACTTCCTACCATATGAAGTGGAGGATTCAGTCATACATACCTGCTGGCAAGTGGTTTCCAAGTAAGGCAAATCGAGATGGAGTCATGACGACCGCCAAGGGTCTGGCACTGGGCAGAGTGTCGGGCCGAGACTCGCCAGCCGCCGACAGGCGCCCAAGATTGTACAAACCCGATGCTTATTCATTATTGCGCACAAGTGGATGGCCATATCGGAAATTATGGCATGTGGGTGTGTGATGCAGCGAGGCTGATATGTTTTATCGGCCGAGAAGACTTGCGAAAACTTGTTCGGATCAGGAACGTCATCCGAGACCTTCCGATGGAGGTCGCGGCGCTAATGACTGGAGGAACGGAAAAGCGGGATTCGGGAAACTACAATCTTGTGGGCGCGTCGTTAGTAGCACAGGCACGACGCGAATAAGGCAAGAGGAACAAGCGATGTTCTGGGATCTCGCTGTGGATGCGGTGCCATAGCCATCGTCCTGCAGGTGCGGGAATCCAAGAGGGCGTTTCCTCCGCTCGATGACTTCTTTTAATCCGGGCTCTCTCCGGACCAACCAGGAAAGAGCGGAAGCTGATGCGTTCTTCTGGCCGGGTAATGGCTTGGCAAACGTGCTGGGCGTTGTCCTGCGACACCCTGAGCTGGATAGGGGCGCGGATGCATTCAAGTTATTCCTCTGTTGGTCGCGGCAATGATGGACACCGCCGGGGGTCCGCAATAATTTTACTCGTGTTTTGGGGACACGATTATTGGGGAAGCTTATCAATGAGGGAAGAAGGGGTGAGGAAGGGACAGGGGACGGAGGAAGTACGGAGAGGGTGGCGGAATGTTGCCAGAGTGGCCGAGTCAAATGACGAGCCCAGAATCCGCCTCACACCGCCCGTCCCCAACGTTGCCAAGCGCATAAATATCCTCGCACGCGCCCGCGCTTGTCCCCCTCTCCCTTCCCTATCATCTGCCTGCACGGCATACACCACCTCCCTCGCTCCTTCTCTTCCGACCACCTGCAAGCCCCCGCCTAACAGCAACAGCATACGATGTTCAGCCTCCTCCGCCTCGCCGGTCTCTGTGAGTCATACCCACTGCGCTCGTCGGACTACGCGCTGAACCACTTCGTACAGGCACCGTCGCCTTCCTCTCCATCATCGTTCTGGGTATCTCTGCCAACCTCGACTTTGGCCTTGGCATCGCTACCGCGGTCCTCACCATCATCTCCGCCATCCCCGTGTAAGCCCAGCGCTTATTTTGCATGGACGTCGTACTGATCGCACCCCCAGGCTCGTGATCGACTTCTTCCGCAAGGGCGTGTTCACCTCCTGGACGGCCGTTGAGCTCGGCTGGGTGGGCGTGCTGTGGGTCCTCTGGCTCGGTACGTCTTTTCCCGCAGACACGCGTGTGTGTATGCTCACGCCTCTCCAGCCACCGGCGCTGATGCCGCGTCGATTGCGACCGTGGCCTGCGAGGTCTTCTGCGTGAACGACGGGTTCGGGGATAACTTCTGCTGTGCGTCTCCCTCCTTCCCCCCTCCCGGCGCAACTACTGACCCGCTCTCCAGCCGGCTCGGGCTCCATCTGCTCCCAGATCCGCGCCGTCGCCGCCTTTGGCTTCATTGGGTTCTTCATCCTCGTCGCGATCTGGGTGTGGACGCTGGTGATCGCCATCCGCGCGCACAACGTCGGCGACCAGCATGTCTGGACCACTCCCGCGTACGAGTACGCTCCGGGCGCAAAGATGTACGGCGGCCCGCCCACCCAGATGGCAAATACGACCCAGCCCGCGTATACTGCGTGAGCGTCAGCGCAGCTCTCCCCGCTGGAGGTGGACAGGTTCGGTTCTCGGAAGTCTCTCTGTCTCTCTCTCTCAATCTTCCCGTGCTTATCTGTCATGGTTTTCACGAATAATGAATGGGTGTTTTCTGCCTCCCTACCTCATACGCGCGTCTTCTCGTAAGGATCGGAAAATCCAAAATCGCATAGGCGCGCATACATGCCATAATATTCCGGCCATACGCGCCCATGCTTCCCAATACGGTAGGTGGCATCCAGACTCACGTAACGGCCGCCGAACGTGTGTGCCTGAAAGCCGTATGCTGAACAAGCCCGAAATAGATCACATGAGGGGACGCTCACTCCTAACCGCGTTTTTCTCGCTGGAACGTCGGCTCCGATTTAGGAAACGACGGGGCGCTTCTGCTTCTGAACTTTCCAGATTTGTGCGAGGCTTCTGTCCGCCGTTCACGCGTTTGGCGTCATTGTCGGTCGCTCGGCCTTACAGTGGTGAAGCTTGGCTGGCGCTCAATGCGGCTCAAACGGCAGAGCGCACGCTCAACGCACGGCTCAGCGCTCACTTCTCTAGCTCTCACGTGGACCAGACCGTCTGCTGTTCCTCGAGAAACAGGTGTACACAGCACCGTATGACCCAGAGCGCACAAGGGTATATTGGGCAAGCCGAGATACATAGGATATGAGAGCATACGATACCCGAAATACGAGAGGAGCAGCACGGGCGGACCAACTCGGGTCCTTTTTGTTGGTTGGGCAGTGTCGACCTTGTGGCTTGGCTCGGATCGGCCGTTTTGACTTGGAGAGATGGTATAGGACACACATCGGAGACCTTTTGTCGGCATCATCCAAGAGCCCGAGAACCAGAAGCAGGGTGATGTGAGACCCAAAACGAAACGGAGAGAGACTCGAGCGAGCAGATCGGGATGCGTTTGACGGGGGAACGGTCGGGAATCGGGAGTCGGGGCTTCAGCGTCGGGAAGGAGAGGGAAAGGCGGGCGTGTGGGGTAGACCGCGCGCCGCTAGTGGAGAGCGAGGCGAGAAGGGGTCGGGCATGGGGTATGTGCGGGGTGTTCGATGGCTCCAACTGCCAAATGAATGCTCCAATGCTTTCTCAGGCTCTTCTTTCGTCCATCGACCGTCATCCATGGTTCATCGCGCACACCAACTCCGCTCAGCCCCAGCGCCGCATATGTTTTTCTCCAAATGCAGAGCCCTCCGCTTCCTCTCATCAGCACCTACACAGACCATAAGCATAAGCGGGGTTGGAGGGCTAAGCGACGCACGCACCGGTATCCTTGTGGAGCAGTTCTGGGCCCTCGCGCGTCCGTCACATCCCCATCCCCACCCCACCCCATTCCCGCCCCCGCTCTCCCCTACAGCACCCCCTCCCCCCCGCAACCCATGCAGCAGCTACTTAACATTCCCCTTACTCTCCGTCCTCCCCTGCTGCGGTCTCCCCTCAGCGAACGGGGGCGGGGAAGTGAGCGGCCCCTGGGCGTGCGCTTTGAGCAACGAGTTTGGCAGACGGGGGGCGCCTTTTGGAGGTGGACGCGTGGGGGAGAGTATGAATGCGCTTCCTCCGGAGGAGGAGGAGGAGGAGGAGGGGGGTTGGGACATGCTGAGGGCGGGAGGAGGGGAGGGGGGAGGAGGAGGGAGCTGCAGTGCGGGGAGGAAGTGTAGGGGATGCGAGGTGTGCAGGAGCTGGCGAGAGAGAGCAGGGGGCGTGGGGCGAAGTGCGGGGCTTAGGATATGCAAGTCCGCAGGGGAGGAGGAGGGGATGATATACCCTCCCCAGCCTGTCCCGCTCACGTAGACCCCTGGGCGATCAGGGCGCTCTGCGGGCCCTGAGGAACCGTACCGGCCCACAGCCCAGCCCTGCGCCCGGAAAGGAAGGGGAGGCATTCATTTTCAGGGTACAGGATGCTGCCGCTGCTGGATGATAGGGTGCCGCGAGGACCCTGCGGAGAGACAGGTGCTGTTTTGGGTGAAGGAGCTGATGCCGGCCCGGAGGACTTCCTGCGCGGCAGCCAGTAGACAGGAAAGTATCGGTGTATGCGCGTTACGGCGTGATGGTCCAAGTGCAGTACAGTACTGCTGCTCGCTCGCCAACAGCTTGGGGCAGATCAATTGCCTTATGTGGCACCCGCCAGAATGTACCTTCTGCCGATCAGGTACGACCGGCAGCGCACGCGCAGCTCTCGTGGCCCCAGTGTCAGCTTCATCCCAGCCTGGATCTTCCTGGCCTGCACAGCCCGCCAACATACAACAACAAAAAGGATTTGTATGACAATCGATCCGCGGCCAAAAGTTACTGTCTGCGCTGTCAACTCTGGCCCTCCGAGTCGCGGGCGCCGATCAGTGCCCATGCTCGGGTTACGTAAGAGTATATGCTCTTGCTCGGGTGCCTTGCTCAGGCACGCCTGGTCTGTAACGTTTAGGCATCCTCCCCGCCTCGTACTGTACTGTATCTGTCTTCATTCTTTGTTACTTCAAGTTCTTCAGGAACGTGGTAACTTATCTCCCGGTGGTCGACCAGGAGATCGGCCCGACCATACCCCCGAGACTCCCACTCCCTCACCCGCCGTCCGCCCCCGCCCCTGCTACGGTCCATGTCGGCCCCCACGCCCAGCACGCGCCTCCCCCAC